TTCGAAGTGTTCGGCCCATCTCTCCAGTCGACGTTTTTGCGAGTGAATTAATGAGCCATCTTTTTCACTTATCGTTTCGCTGACCGCCGCTTTCCTAGGGCCAGTCGATCGTATCAGTTGATAAAGGGCGCGGCTATTTCCCGTAGCAAAAGCCTTCCCTATCTCCCCAGCTTTCGATGTCCACCAGAGCTCTCGGTCTTTCCTTAGACTCTTCACTATTTGGCGTTTGAGGGATTTGCGTGCGCCGTCATACTCGTTGCCTGCTGGTATGGCTTTCCTGGTATCAATCATGGATAACGACCTCGACGACATCCAGTGGTCTTGTGGTCGAATTGGAGAAGTCGGGCAGGCAGCACTGAACGCCCCTAGTGTAGCTCGTTTCACATTTTGCCACGCTTCATCCACATGCTCACTGCTACCACAGTATTGTTTTACCATGGAGAGTTGTTGGGCTCGCTCAGATCGGTACTGTTGAGCTATGGCAGTTCTTCTTAGTGGATTGGCATGCTTCTTGCCGACTTGCGAGAGTCTGAAGGGAAACGAACTGTCAAGTGTGCGCGCACCACGACGTGATCGGAATCAAGTGGTGTGCCCCACCGATGGCTCTCCACCGGTGGCTGATGGCCACGTGGTCCAACTGGGTCCACGGTTGATTTGTAGTTGGCGGTCGCCAGGTAATGCGGTGCGAACTTTTATGTTGGAAGTTCGTACTTGCCAGAAACAGTTCGTGATCAGCACACAGCTGAAGGAGTCGATCTTCGTTGTCTGTGCGGCGAGCGTCAATTCCGAAACGACCACCCAAGTGTGATTCCAAGGAGCTCAGACGACCTACTTGAGCATTCAAATCGCCTGCGAGGATCCCAATGTCGGTGCTTTTTGCCCGACGGATGAGCCCGGATAGCTCTCGATAGAAAGTGTCCTTCTCCGCATCAGAACTGCAGTCCGTTGGGGCATAAGCCGACACGACAAACAGGCCCCGCTTTTTATGCCGCGAGGCATTGAGCTTGATTGAACTGGATAGCCGGACGGCGCAGAGACGACTGTTCACTGGGATCCAATCCAGCAAAGCGCGTTCAGCTCTGGGGCTGAGTGCAACTCCTACGCCATATATTCCACGAGTCATCGCTTCTGGGTCGTCGGACACACGGATGGAGAAGTGTGAGAGATCTGAGTTCATTCTTGGAGTTCTGAGATGCAGAACCACGCTCGGGTCTTGTATGCGTGTTTTGGAGACACAGCATACATCGATTTTAAGGGAGTACAAGGTTTCAGCAAGCATTGCCTGTTTGCAAATTCGACGTAGAGTACGGACGTTAAAAGCTCCTATATAGAAAGGATCTCGTGGATTTAGAGAGGTGTTATTTTGTTTAATGTTTGTAGGCAGCGAGGAGCATAAGGCCCTTTGGTCAGAGACTGACAGTCAAATGGCCCAGCGACGTTTGCTTGTGCGGTGGGAAGGGGTTGGGGAGGGACATCGGTGGACGCTGA